TTATAAAGTTAGATCTTGTTATAGTCACTCTTGATATAGTCACAACCTTGTTATAATCACACCATTTTTTAATTCTAGCTATTATAAAACATATAAAATTTAATCTTTATTTAGTTACAACTTTTATAATCAAATTTTTGTTTTCCAACCTGGTGATTATATTGAGGTTTGGCTGTAATTGTTATTGTTTCTTAAAAAATTATACTGTGATTTTTTGTAATAAATCATTGTGTATATACTTTAGTATAATCTTTGCCAGTTGACAGGTAGATTATCGATTGTGTATTGTGTTGTAAATATTGACCTGGAGAAGAATATTTATGAATGTTAGCATAATTACTAATAAATGTTGATATTAAAGTTGATACTGTTGGATCAATCATTGTACGATTGGAATTTGGCTTGTATTGCCATACATTCATTCAACTGTAATTAAGATACAGTATGTATTTTTACTAGGGTGGGGAATGGGCTAGGCCAAACCCGGAAATTTACGAGTCAGGCCGGGCTTGGTCTAACTTGGGCCCAAAATTTTGGACCCGTTAATATTTGGGCTGAGGTTAAGCCTATTAAAATATTGGGTCAGGCCCGAGCTTTGTGAACAGGCCCAGCTAGACCCAACGGGCCTACTATCCCTTAAACCGTTCATTTAGGCAGGCAAATTTGCCTGCTAAAATCGTTAGAAGAAAATCTAATAGAGTACAAAATTTTTTTGTGCAGATTTTAACTTAAATTGGATAAAATGATTCTCTAAAACCCGGATAACATGTTTTACAACACAATTTCGGTGTGGCACACATTGTATAGCATAAATAAAAGGTACGAATTTTAATTAAATAAAATATACCGTGCAAAACTGTGAATTATATCATATGATCCAAAATTCTGGACTTCCATCACGAATTAAAGTACTAAGATTTTAAGTGAACTTGATTTTAGAGTCATGATTCAAATGAATTTATTTAAAATCAATAAACTCGATAGTAATTTTCAGGGTTATCAATATTGGGAATTTCATTGAGATTTTTAATTAATTTTATTTAATACTACCGGGTATCATTTTTCAATAAAAAAAAAAATAAAGCTATTGTTCTAACTTATATGACCATCAAATTTAACCCAACCAATAGGATTATATCCTTCTAGAATTTCACCTGTATCTTTAACTCTCATAATTACAATAATTTTTGCTTTCTTATTGCATTAATTCCAAAATGTATCAGCGATAAAACTGTCTTTCATCCCACAAAAAAGTAATTTAAATTTATGGGTTGTTTGTTACCGAATATGTTCAACCTTTTTATCAATCCACATTGCACATTATAAAAGACAAAAAAAAAAAATAAAAAAAGGTAAAAAAATAAATAATAAAAAGACAAAAAAAAAAATAAAAGTAAAAAAAAAATAAATAAATAAATAAATAAAAAATAAACCAAAAAAA